TTCAGATAAGGGAGTGCCTTACCATTCCCCGGAAATAAAAGACACAACACAGACACGAATAATCACTTTACAGGCCCGGCCAGGGGTCTTGGGTATACGGTATCCCGGGCCATTTTAATTCAGGTATATGGTATTTTTTGGTCAAAATTTGGGTATAAAGTATTCAGCTTTTCCTGAATTTTAGGTATTCAGTATATGGTACAGAAATCACTGAGAAATGTATAATTCATTTCTAGTTTTATTATCGTTCTAATGCTCACTAGAAATAGTGCGGATGCTCGAAATTGTGTTCAATCCCTAATCAAATACTTACAAAACCTGTGGCTCTTTCAGTCAGCCTTCAATCTGACTGGGACAACCAGAAGGTTAAGTTTTGATGAGACAGTTACCCGCGTCCAGCATTACTATTCTTTTCACGAAGAAGTCTCGTTGAAAGTTCAGGGTATCAAGGGCTCAACTTCCCAGACCCAAGGACCATACGGAACACTATCTGCTACTACACTGAACTCTGTGAAGATGATACTGGAAGGCCTCACTAGACTGAGGACAAAGGTGGTGGAACTCAGTCCAAACTTCATTCAACACTTAGACGTTGTAAGCCTTTTAACTCTCTTTGTTGAAGACTTCTTTTCCGGTATGAGAGGGGGTAACAAAGACTCTCCCATGATGCTCGACTTTTGCTTGCGTCAGTCCCCGATGTATTAACGAATTATTAAAACGTGTCACAGGTACGAGCTACGGGTACTTTACAAATCCAGTGGCCTTGTACTACCTTCAGCCTACTTTAGGTGATGTTAATATAGACTTCTGCGACCTTGCAAAGTTACCGAAGAAATTGTCTGGTTGCTTATCCAAGAAGCAATTGGATGAGATCCGTCAGTGGGTACAGCACTGAGTAGGTTAAGAGTGTCAGACAGAATACCACAAGGAACTTTTCAACAAAAGACAAACCAGGTACCTTGCCATTGAACCTCTACGAGTCTGCACCCCCGGAGCAACATTCAGTTGACTTTGACGTGCTTCTCAATGAAGACATCCCGTTCAACACCAAGATACCAGCACAGCACGTAGCATTGTCATCGCCCAGTCCACGTATGCTGTAGTTTCCCGAATATACAAACCGCGTTCTGCTCCAAACAGCCCACTTTACATTACAAAACTATTAGAGGATGTGGTTGATGACTATGACAGTACTCGTTATGTAACAACTCTCCGTTACATCTAAGATGTTGTCGATCCTGTCCTATTCATCAGGGGCACCCAACCACGGTTTCCTTCAAAATACGTTGAAAACACTTTTTAGGCTATCCAGAGTACTTTTAGATCTGTAGAAATGCATTCTAAGCGGCGCTACAAAATTTTTACCTGCTCGGTCATCCTAGGGGAACTTAAGTCTTTTCGAAATTACAAGGGCTTCAGTGCTTCCTGCACGATGGCAGGAGCAAGGGATTATGGGAAGGGAGAAGAGACGAAAGTCAAAGTCTTTATCCCTCGATTTTCTCCTTCGCATCCAAGCTCGCGCTCGGTCTACTACGAAGAGGTGAAAGACGTGAAGGATAAACAGATTGGCTATAAATAAATATAACTGACAAACGTCTTCGTACTTCGGAACTGTGTTATATGATCTTTTTTCTCAGTGCTTTAGTGGCCGTAAGAGAATAGGGTGATTGTTGAAGTTTAAAGTGTATATGACAGAGATGTTTTTATTTGCTTTTTAGAATATACACAGTGTACTGATAACGACGGCAAAAAGTATTTCGATAGCCATTTTTCGTTCCCATGTATTGAGCTGCAAAAAACGTGAAATTTCACTTCCTGTGGGCTACAAAACCCCACAAGTGAAAACAGGAGACTGGGAATGATTGTGACGTCATTCTGTTTCTTGGCAAGCAGATTATTACTCAAGGAAATGGTACAAAAGTGCATTGTATATGGTTGCAATAACACGAAAGACGAGAAAAAAAGGAATTTCTATCCATCAGATACCAATTTTTAACGATCTAAGATCAGAAGCATTTACCAGATACCAAAACGCGGTTAACACTATATGAACCTAACAAATCGCAAGTATCTTGCACGGAACCTTGCAGTTAGAACGTGTGACACGATGGTGTTGCGATCATAATTCGCTGTGCGAACCTGCAAGGAAACAATTGTTTAAAATTCATCACTTTGAAATGCATTCATTCGATAACAACGTTTACAGAGAAGCATTCTTTTTTAAAGTCAGACTTTGATTCTCAATAGAGACACCTATTAGGAAAGGCAAAAGCAATATTTCAATTCGTAACTTTAGAAACAAAAAGGAACCGGAGCTGAAATTAACGGCGTGCTACAAATGTGTCTGGGATCCTTACTGGGAGCTCGCCAGTCAGCTATTGGCCAATCTTTTTCCCTGTCCCAAGCTGGTAACGGTCCCAGAAGTCTTTGCAAAAGTTAACTCGACTCAGTTTCCTTCTCGTTTCAAAGTGGCGAATGGCAAATAACTGTAGCTAGCTATCTGACTAACTAACTAACTAACTAACTAACTAACTAGTCAACTGTTTTAAATAAATAAATAAATAAATAAATAAATAAGGCTGGATTTTTGAAAATGTTATTGATAACTTTTTAAAACAAATCCCTTCCGGGGAGTAGAGGTGGAAGAACTTAGGCAAACTCAAAGTGTGGGAATGAGCATTATTTTCCCCAGGTTATAAACGATGGTGCGACTCCGCTTACTACTCCGACTCCTACTACACCGCAAGCTCAGTTAAAGCTGGCCTCGAGGAAGAAATCCACCATCACATACTTCCAAACCATCATTTTTCTTGTATTCCTCCCATTTGACACTGTCTGAACTAAACGAAATTTTGCATGACGTTACCCATTGCGGAGGGGCAAGGAAGGCCTTCCCTGTGTGTTGAGTTTTGTCACCAGTCTCCTCCTCAAGCTTAATTTGTAACCACTGGCCAGCTTTATTCAAATCCGCCGACCAGTATCCCATGTGGCCATTTCTAACATTTTTGAGACGAGCTAGCCAAGGTTCGTGTGCCCCACCGTGATAATAATGCCTTCAAATGCTAGTCAAATTAAAAAAAAAAGAAGCGCGAAAAATTAAAGTTGAACCGTGTTAGAAAGCGCCAAACATGGTAAAAGGGGGCTAATCAATTAGGTCTTTACCACTATCTTATATCAAATTAAAGGCGATATTCTGTTCGTAAACCTCTATAGAGAGGATAGCTATAAGCATCCTCTTATTATCTTAAAGTTGCTATTTCTTCTTTTCCTCAAACTAACTTAAGGGGACAATAAGGTCCCGCCTCCCGTAATTTTCATTCAAGGCTAACCTATCCCCCTTTTACGGCTTCTTCCCTTGTATCCTTTTGCCATGGCTTAAGCAACGTTACGTAACCCCCGCCCCTTTCTTCAGCTTCCCGCTCTTTCAGAGCTCTCCCCTTCCACCCTTCCTTTTCCTCCTCTATATTACATACCCCTCCAGCCCTCTATTCTCTCCGGGGCTCCTACCCTAACGTCCTCCCACACAACTCAGTGGGTCTTCATGGGGGTGGGGGGCGGGGTACAAATGTAAGTTGTCAGTTAAATTTTAGGCTTTTTGTCAGTTGTCCGCTAAATGATTATTAATAATTAATTATGGAACTTGTTTGTTTATTTTTAATCCGAAATTTAGCTAAAAAGGTATATATAATGTAAATTAAACATTGAATTCGAAAACTGATGCAATAGTACCTTAATTTTTACCAGTTTTTCTTTGAAATATGACACTTCTGTGTCCTGCTACTAAGATTCCCCGTATAAAACACACATTTGATCACATTGTCTGACGAACAGAGTGGATTAATGTAGTAAAAGACCTTAAAAATGGGTTTTGTTAAAGGACAATCAGGTCCTTTGTCATTTGTCAGTATATCCCAGGGCAAATGCCAGTTGTTAGTTAAATTTTAGAGGATTTGTCAGCCAGCCAGACTCTTAACTTGGCTTGGACTCGAAGCAGCGACAATGATCTACCAACATTGAAAGTGGCAGGCCCAGGGAGAGCAAGGGAGCGAAAACCTGGTCTTCTACTCGTCGCGTGTTCGGGCTACCCCGAATTCTGGTTAGTTAGAGAGAAAGAGAGAAGAAGTTAAATTTTGTGGTATTGCTAAGATCAACTGGTCACCAAACTCGAGCTCACCTTCGCACTTCGAAATTCGAACGAAAGCAAATCAAAGTGCTGCCACAATCTGAGTCTTTGTTGCAGGTTATAGGTCTGAGAGTATTCTCCATGTAGTCTCATGGAACTTGTCTCATATCTTCAGGGTGGGAAGAGTGCGTTTTATCATTCAGCTCACACCATCTGCTCTTCCGATAAAAGTTGCTGCTATGGCAACCGTGATGTTCGATCTACGCACCGAGAGATGCAGTTTTCAATCAGTTCCACCGCCCCGCTCGGCCCTCCTGCCAATAACCAACCTCTCTTCCCAATCCTTATCCCAACCCTCTAAATCCAACGAATGCAACCTTTACAAGCTACGTTACATTTATTCCTTTACTATTACCAACTAAACATTCCTCACAATTCGAGAGTTTAAAGTTTTATAATACTCATATTTTTTCTTGACTCGCTTTTAAGACATTCAGCCAAGAGAGTCTGATAGAAACCCCGCAAAGTATCAATGGAAAGGATTGTAGCCTTCACGAATATCAAAACGAAGATCTGCCAAGTCGGCAGCCACACCTGCTGTGTTCACCACTTCATTCAACGAGAAGTAGGGCAAGGCTGCGCCGCTTCTTTTCCAGCCCAGAGATGTAGACCCACCAGGGCCATTGAGATTGCCACCCCTACGAGGAAACCAAGAAGCGTGAAGTGTTCACTTTCTGGTTGTTGGCGTCAGGCTACGGAGTAAACACTAGGCCTGGTTCGGGCAGCCTGTGAGGTCACGCATCGAGGAGAAACTTTCCCTATCATTGTGAGAGGGCAAGAAAAGATATTTGAACCAAGCCCTATTCCCATAAGGCAATAACTCCGAGCCAGAGAACGGTCGACAGAACAGTAAAATATCCAGTTTATGATAGATCCAGTCGAGGATCCTCTCTGCCAACGGGCATCTGGATTGTTCCAGATGGAGTCCGCCCGCAAAGAACTCATCGGGGAATCTTAACCTTAACGCCCAAACTGTGGCAAAACGTCCGGCAACAAAACATGCTTCCAATGCCATTCAACGCCCGTTTCCCTCCCGGTCGGGAGCTCCATCTACATTAACCCAAGAGTGGAATATTTAGGTGCTAATACAGAAATTACATGACTAACCTCAAACCCACTTCCGTTTCCCTTTTGACTTCCCGCTCCGCTAATTAGCATTCTTATTCCCTTTCTTCCTTTCTTTCTTCCTAAGAGAGAGGAACCGGAAATAAAAAGAGATCCAACAACAAGGAAAGAACCCGGACGAGAAAAATAAAATAGACGGAGTTCCAGACCAGGAGGGAGCAACTTCATACGACTGATAACAGAACGTCCGCAGCATACTCAGAATGGAGTATACATCACGGGATTTACTCACCCTGAATTTGGGAAATAATTTTAAGAGAAAGACTCTTACCCAAGGGCAAACAGTACTGTACTTAAGGAAACAAATTCAGCCCATGGACAACAGCAATGTACCCCGCCCGGACTACATTACAGCACGTGATCAAAGCATGGTGGAAAGTGGTGTGACAGAAGGAGGAAAAAACACTGCCAGTTTTCTTTTTCGTGAATGAACACAACAACTTGAACACAAACACGACGCCTCAAGCTAAAAAGCAACGATTTTCAAAGTCATCCCACAAGAGAAACAGCAAATAGTGGAGGAAAACATGCAGAAAATATAACATGTATAAGGAAAGTAAAGAATTAAATTTGTGTTGTTAAACATATAAGTACCGAGTCGACTGTTTTTGTTCGATCCGGTTATTCTTTTGATGCTGTTGAAGTGAAAGTCTAAAGATATAACAAAACACTTAATGTCAGGACCCTCCCGAAACCGGTTAGTCTTGTTTTCCCTCGAGTCCTGATGTTTCCCCACACAAAGTCGAAGAAGACGAAGAAGAGGCGAAGAATATTATACACTTAACGTCAGATCCCTATGGAAACAGTTAATTTTGTTTTCCCGAGAGTCCTGATGTTTCCCGAGACGAAGTCACACATACAAACTTTACTATGTCAAAAGTTTGTCAAAATCTTCTAGCATGCCTAAAGAGGCCCACTAATCGGGGACACTTAAACCTAAAAATGAGCTTTTACAATACAATATCCAGATTTATCACTACTGGTGACATCTAAACTAATTATTTCAAAATTTGCTAAGATATAAAATGCTACTTACTAAAAGAAGTTAGATAGATAGATAGATAGATAGATAGATAGATAGATAGATAGATAGATAGATAGATAGATAGATAGATAGATAGATAGATAGATAGATAGATAATCTTTATTTATCCACGGTACAAAATTCGTCAGCTTTAAAAATGCCGGATACTAATATAATAAAAATATTTAAATAAAAAAGCTGCTTTCCACGAATGCCGTGCCTTACAGTTCTTTGAGTAGTCGTTTAAATTGCCCAAGGGACTCTGCTTCCCTTAAGTTTCAAGGAAGACTGTTCCAGAGAATGGCGCCACTATAGCTGAAGCTGTTTTTGTAATAGTTTGTGCGCGGTAATGGAACATTGAGTTTATTTTCAGAGTCCCTTAGGTTATATGCGACTTCTCGCCTTTCAAATTTAGAACTAAGATAGTTTGGAGCCAACCCGTGCAGAGACCTGTAAACCATCGTAGCTCTTTGAAATTGTTGCTGGCAAGCTAGGTTTTTCCACCCTAGAAGTTTGAAAAGGTGACCAGCATCTACGTCATAGCTTGAGTAGGTCAAAACACGGGCTGCTCTGTTTTGTAGCTTTTGAACCTTATTCCGTAAGGTTATCCCACAGTTTCCCCAAACAATGTTGCAATAATCAAACTGTGGCTGTATTAAAGCTTGATATATTAGTTGTAAGGTCGCCTGAGGGACAAGGTGCCTTATTCGTTTTATGGCCCCAATACCAGAAGCGACTTTCTTTGTTACTTTCTCGATATGGCCACTCCAATCAAGTCTGTCATCGATAGTCACTCCAAGTGATTTTGCAGTAGTGACCTGGCTAACTTCAAAATCATTAATTGCAAATTTCGGGGACTCTGTGAGAGTACTTAGCCTCTTCCTAGATCCGATAAGCATAAATTCGGTTTTAGTCATATTTAGAGTAAGTTTGTTTGCTCTCAGCCAATTGTGAATATGCAACTGAATATTGTCTGCATTATCACCTGCGTACGTAAGGTGGGTGTCATCAGCGTACATCCTCGGCTCACAATTTGAAAGACAGTTTGGAAGATCGTTGATGTATAACAGCAATAATAATGGACCTTAAATCGTCCCCTGGGGAACACCACAACTTAATAAACAGCTTTGAGAGAGCGATCCGTTGATGGAGCACATTTGAGTAAGATTCTCTAAACGACTTAAACCGTTGGTGCGCGCTACCATATATGCCGTAATTGCTTAATTTTGATAAAAGGATCTCATGGTCAACTGTGTCGAAGGCCTTTTTGAGATCTAAGAAAACAACGGCGTTGATTTTACCGCGGTCAATATTGTACGCCAAAGTGTCCGTGGGCTCAAGGAGAGCCGTGACAGTTGAGTGAATAGCGCGAAAGCCTGATTGATATTTACAGATTATATTGTGCTCTTCTAGGTAGGCATATAATTGATCATAGACGATTCTTTCAAAGACCTTGGCCATAACTGAGATCACCGAAATTGGACGATAATAGTTTAAGTCGTCCCGATCGCCTTGTTTAAAAAGTGGGGTGACCTTTGCGCATTTCCAGTCATCCGGAAATATGCCTTGACTTATTGACTGGTTAAAAATATCACGGATAGGAATGCAAATGAGATCTGCACATTCCCGAATGAGCCTAGCAGATATCTTGTCAAGGCCAGCTGCCTTTGACTTATTTAGACGATTCAAAAGTGAGAGAACTTTATTTGCA